ATATATATATATATATATATACAAAAAATAGACAACGACGCATGCAGCTGCATGCATGCCCATATACAACTGCATGTATGCGAAGTTCATGCACTCCGGTGCGTGCATGCTTTACTCCGCATGCATAATTTACTCTGCATGGTGCTGCTGTTGTGTTTAGAGAGAAATTTTACTCAGTTGGAGTCTTGCTGCGAGTTCTCCGGTCTTCTCAGCATGATAGCGAGCGGGACTGGGTACATGTATGCATTATTACATACAACATGCATGCATGCATACGATGCCACTTCTTGCATGCTGTTTCTAGGGTTTCCTTAGGTTCAGTCCCTCTGCAACAGCGCCTCCTGTGTCTTCCTGTTCTTTTTTCTTCTTACGGGTTTATCTTCGCCCTTATTTTTCGTTGGTGTTCCTCTTTTGCTGTCTCCTTTTTAATATTATGTCTAGCTGGCATTCAGACCCCACCTTAGATGAAGAAGCAGGGAAGGATATTCCTTGTATCCATTGTGTGGATACTGTTGCTTTTTCCTTTGTCCCTTTGTGGTTTTGCTTCCTTCACGTCTTAGGGGATCTGTGTCTTGCGTCCTCCCCTTTCTTACCTTCACGGTCTTTATTTATTTTTAGTTGGCTTATCTCGGTGTCTTCATCTAGTGTTTGTCTCTACGTGCTGCCTTCTTCAGTCCAGTGCTGCAGTTCCTAGGGGTTTAGTACCTATGTTTTATGGCAGATGGTTGGGACCTGTTGCTGCTTTTTGCCTACGTACTACTCTCCTAACTATTTAGGGTACAGGCACATGCACGAGCGAGTGCCGGAGGCAGAGAAGAAAGATATCGTTGCAACTGCTTAGTACAGCATTCTGCAGCAGCAGCAGCAGCGCCAGGAGCGGCAGCAAGAGCAATACCCAGACGGGTGATCACTGGAAGGCATATCGAGCTGGGGCTCCGTTCTTTACATTATGCATAAGATGAACCCCCATAGCGATGGTTGCATGCGTGCATGCATACAGCGCGCGCGCATGCATACATGCATGCACTGCTACTGCTCAAGAGAGGGAAACGCCACCGTTGTTGGAGGAGGGCATCCTGCTACTTGGCAATATCTTTTTGTTGCATGCAGATGATGAGTAGAGGCGGCAGCTCAGCAGCATTTAAATGTACAAATAATAAATATGGATGTCGTCTCAAGCCCCCCCACACGGGGAGACGACGCAGAAGTCGTCTCCCTCAAACAAACACCCTAGTGGGCTGGGCTGTATCTCGGCAGCAGCAGAAGCCACTGCAGCAGATGCAGCAGACACACAACACGATTCCTCTATGCGCTGACGCTGCTTAAAACTGTTAGCATCCGTTCAAGGCGGCACGCTGGCCACAGCTAGCCACAGCTAGCCACGGTCTGTCGAGACACCGGAACATCTACAACACAACTTGGGTGTACAGGCTGCTTCCATGCGCTCTACAGGTGTTTCCTTGCAGTACTGAGCATGCATGCACCCTTCGCCCGAATGCCAGCCCTATTGTTTTGTCTTCATTTTTCCTGCATTGTGCATTGTATGCGGGTAGCAGCTGCATGAGTTTTTTTGGTGGCACCTAAGCCCTAAACCCTAAACCCCAGGCCTTGAAATATACCTATGCTGGTGGTGATGCATGGATACCCTCTTCCCCTCCTACAATCCAGTTGTCTGTACGTTGGGAAAAGCCCTCCTTGTCATCCGACCTGCCGGCTTATGAGGGATTACACACCTAAAGTCGCTCTTCTCAAGCATGGCGCAATGCAATATTGAGTTACGCTCCTTTTGTTGTGCAGTTGCAGTGTCTGTACACCGTAGTAAAGGGAAAATCGGCTCCATGCCTCTGCTGGAGCAGGAGCAGCAGGAGCAGCAGCTCCTGCAGCTGCTCTCAAACGAATGCAAACGCAGAAACAGGGCCAATGTTCAATGAAAAAAATAAAACATTATGATATTTAAAACCTTTAAGATTTAAAGAAGTAATAGTTTTTATTTTTTTGCAGCTTTTCCCCAACAAACGGCTAACAAGCCGTCGGCCGAGGGGGGTGGGGGGGAGATGTGTTGTGGTGTATTGGGGCTGGTCAGTGGTATAATTGGTGTGTCTCTGCACCCGGATCTCTCCTGATTCTTCTCGTTTTCTTCTTTAAATCCACAAAATTATCTTTTTTTTGACTCTAAATCGGACAGAAGGAACACAAGAACCCCCCTTCCCGCAGCTTGTTTCCTCCTCTCTCTGGAGCCCTGCTGCTGCTGTTGCATCCGCAGCGTATTATCGCTTTTTTATGGTTGGTGAGCGCATGCGATTCGGTTAAAGGAAGAAAACATGATATGGCTAGGCGATATGAATACATAAACGGCTTACATGAGGGCAGCAGCAGCATTTAGAGCAACAGCAGCATCAACAGCAACGGCAACACAGCCACCAACCGTGGCTGAAATCGCACACCAGGAGGAAAGGGGGGTAGGAAGAGGCAGGTATCACGTCAGCTGCTGCTGCCGCGCAGCGGCAGCTGCAGCTGCTGCAGTTGCAGCAGCTGCTGCTCCTTCAGCAGAGCTATAGTGCTATAACACCAGCCGCCAGGGCACAAGAATAATGTCGGACAGCGACACTTCGGACGCGCTGGAGCGCAACAACAACCGCCGCAGCAGCATCAGCAGCAGCAGCAGCGGCAGCAGCAACAGCAGCAGCGGCCAACAAAACCTGGGGCGCAACAACAGCCGGTCGGGTAGCGACAGCAGGAGCAGCAGCAATAGCAGCAGAGGCAAAAGAAGTAATGTCAGCAATGGGAGCGATGAATCTGATGGAGATGAATCATTCCTACGAGGGGGTCACGAGGAGGTAAGTTACGGGTTTAGTGTTTAGTGTTTAGTGTTTAGGGTTTAGGGTTTAAGGGTCTAGATCCGCCACTTTCTTCCTTTTTATCTTCTTCAGATCTCTGACGCGGAGGAGTTCTTGTGGGGCCGCAAAGAAACGGCAGCAGCAGCAGCAGCAGAAGACTCGGGAGGAAGCGATAATGACCTACTAGACGAGGAGGACTACATAAGAGGTGCTACTACTGCTGATGGACCAGCGGCAGATGGAGCAGAAGATGACGGACACCGTCCCAAGCCTTCAGCAGCAGCAGCAAGTGCAGCAGCAGCGGCAAGGACTGTGCTGCAGCAGCAGCAGAACAGCGATGTGACGCTGTTTGACGAGGAGTCTCCGCCTTTCTTGCGGCCTGTGCTGCTTCACGATGCAGCGGCAAGGTTGCGGAAGCAGCAGCTGCTGCTGGCAGCCCTCAATGACCTGACGCATGCAGAGGTTCGGCACGACGCAGCAGCAGCAGCAGCTGCTGCAGCTGCAGCTGCTGCAGCTGCTGCAGCGACAGCAGGAGCAACCGGCCCAGAAGCAGCATCAGAGGCATCCCAGAGTCAGCAGCCATTCCCAACAGGTCGCCGGAGTGTGGGGGCGGAGTCTACCTTCGCACCCTCCCAGCAGCAGCAGCAGCAACAGCAGCAGCAGCAACATCAACAGCAGCAACAGCAACAGCACCAGCAACAACAACAACAGCAGCAGCAACCCATGCTGCTGAAAAACCAGAATCCTAAGCTCGCCAGGATAATGCAGAGTGTCTTCGGCAGAAGTAAACCCGTTGGGCGGTTCGGGGCATATGGCGTGCAGCAGAGGCCACAGGCAGCAACAGCAGCACCAGCAGCAGCATCAGCAGCAACAGCCACAGCAGCAGCAGGCGGTCAGCAGCAGCCGTCTGGCTCCTGTACGGATGGGAGCACTGGCAGCAGCGGAGCAGCAACGACAGCTGGGGACTCCGCACCAGCCTCTCAAGGTGCAGCATCAATAGCAGCAGCAGCAGCTGCAGCAGCAGCAGCAGCTGCTGCTGCTGCACCGCAACACATGCGTACGGTTGAGCTTAACATATCTCCTGCTGCAGTACGGAGCCTTAAGGATGCTAACTTGCTGCTGAAGAGGGAGGGCTGCAACAGTGACAGCAGCAAGCAGCAGCAGCAGCTATACGATATAGAAGACGGCCACTTAACCTATCAGCATCCGCGCTTCTGCGCTTTTGCCATCTTTGTAAGATGTCCCCAGCAGCAGCAGCAGCAGCAGCACGCAGCACTAGCAGCAGTAGAAGAAGCAACTGTAGTTACTAGCAGCAGTATCGACAACAGAAGAAGCAGTAGCTACTTTTCTGCAACGGAATTAGGCATGGCTGTCAGCAACAAGTAGTTTCTGAGCTGCAGCAGCAGCAGCAAGTAGTTTCTTAGCAGCAGCAGCAGCAGCAAGTGGTTGCTCAGCAGCAGCAGGTGTTTGCTGCGTGCTGCTACAGGAGAAGGATTTGGTGCTTCGTTGCCTCTTGCCTCTGTGGCAGCGGCTAAACACTTTATACGATGAGGTTGAAGGGAATATTGAGGAGCAGCAGCAGCAGTACATGCTGCTGCTGCAGCTACTGCGCTGCCTCAGTTCCCTTGCTGCGCCTCCCCCAAGCGAATGGATTAGGGTAAGTCGACCCCCCAGCAGAAGGAGCAGCAGCAGTAGCACAGTAGCAGCAGAAGTAGCGAAGTAACAGCAGCACCATGAGCAAAGCAGCAGTAGGAGCAGCAGCAGCAGCCGGAGCCCACCCTGCAGCAACCACCGAAGTGACAATAGCAAACAGCAGCGCTGCAGGAGCCCTGGCAGCAGCGATCACAGCAGCAGCCCAACAGCGGCGGCAGCAGCACAGCTACCGTTCGCCGGAGGTGCAGCAGCAGCAGCAGCAGCGGGACTTGCCTGTGTGTTTTTGGGGCCTTTATTTGCATGCAGTTTTGGTTGAAGTTTGGGCCCGCGTTGAATAGCCATAAGGCTTGGCAAATAAGAGTTAAGGAGACAGAGGAAGCAGCAGCAGCAGCAGGAGAAGCAGGAGCAGCAGCAGATAGACTAGGGGGCCTTGACCCCGATGAGAGGCAGGCAGCACAAAGTCTTGTTGAAGAAGAAAGAGGCAGACGCAGCCACATCGTTAATAAATACCTCGCCGGCATGCATGTAATGCATACACTGCTGCTGCTGCTGCTGCTGCTGTTGCTGTTGCTGTTGCTGTTGCTGTTGCTGCTGCTGATGTTGCTGGTGCTGCTGTTGGGTCTGCTGCACCACCTGTGCTCGCCTCTTCCGTGGCGCCCTTTCCTGCTCCTTGCCTGCATGCTGTATACAGTGAGCAGCAGGGACAGCAGCAGCAGGTGCTGCTTGCTGCTGCTGCAGCTGCTTCTGAAGCTTTAGCACGCGCTGCTGTTGCTTCAACTACTGCTGCTGCTTCCACTGCATCCCATCTGCAGCATTCCATCCGTTGTTGCTGTACGTGCTGCTGCTGCTGCTGTTGCTGCTGTTGCTGCTGCAGAAGATGAAGGGGACACTGAGCTGCGGGAGTTTGTGGCACCTCGTCTCTAAATTCTACTTTGATCAATCGGATCTTGTTGACAAAAGAGGGCAGTAAGGCTCCGCTGTCCCTCTTTTGTCTGCTTGAAGGCTGCTGCTGCCGCTGCTGCTGTTGCTGCTTCTGGTTATGCTACAAGCTGGTGATGTTAGTGCTGCATGCTGGTATTGCTGCTGCAGCACGATGCTGCCGCTGCTGCTGTTGTAGCACGCCTCTGCAGCAGCGGCTGCTGGAGCTGCAGGAGGTGCTGGAGGCTGTCGTCTGTTGCCATTTGCTGCTGGTGCTGCTGCTGTGTTTGTCTCTGCTGCTGCTGCTGCTGTGCTGCAGCAACACGCCGCTTCATCAGGAGTTAAATAGACTTGTGGAGGAGAGGAATGCCCTCTATATGCGAGAGAAAGAGCTAAAGGATAAACTAGCTAGTCTACAAGATGAGCAGACACCCGAGGAGGAGGAAGAAGGAGACATCCAACAAGCTGGTGGCAGGCTAAGAAGGGTACGTTTTGCTGCTTGATTTGCTGTCCTAGAGGCTGCTGCGCTTCTGCTGCTGCTGCTGTGCTGTTGCCACTGTGCTGCTGCTGCTGCTGCTGCTTTTACAGCTGCTGTGGCTGTTTTGTTGGTGTACATGGATTTTTCTAATGAGTTAGCTGCTCCTTGTCTGTCTTGATGGCTTGGGACTTTAATGCATGCATGCATGCATATACATGCATGCATGTATTTGCATGCATTTGCATGCATTCTTTGTCCTCTATGCAAATATATTTATTTATTTATTTATTTATTTATTGTCTTAAGGGAGGAGCAACAGAAGAGAAAAGACTAAGGGAGGCATTAAGGGCAGACGTAGAGGCATTAAGAGATAATTTATTTACTCTTAGTGAATCTATTGCTGCTGCAACAAGCCGGTACACCTTATAACCTGTTTCTGCTGCTGTTGCTGCTGCTGTTGCTGTTGCTGTTACTGTTGCTGGTGGTGCTGCTGCTGCTGCCGGTGATGGTCCCGTTGTATTGGCCTTTCTTTTATAAAGGAATCCAGTATGGCGGTGCTGCAACCAGGACACGAGCTGCACCGCATAAACTGCTGTTGTTGTTGCTGCTGCTGCTGCTGTCGCTTAGGCTTCGTGACTCAGTGGATCGGGCTAAGACTGCCATCAGCTGCATGCACAGCTTTGTTTGTGCTGCACTGGAGCTGCCTGCTGCTGCTTCCTCAGCAGCAGAGGTGCCGCTTCATGTTGCTGCGCAAAAGCAGCTAAAGCTTGTCAAGGCCATGCTGCAGCACGGTGTCGACAACAAGGTGTGCTGCTGCTGCGACTGCTGCTGTTATTTATGCTGCGGCTGTTGGTGTTCCTGCTGCTGCTGTTGTTACTTCTACTGCTAATGATGCTGCTGCCGTTGATGCTGCAGCCGTTGATGCTGCAGATGCTGGTGCTGGTGGTGCTGCTGTCGCTGCTGCTGCTAGTGCTGCTGCCGCTGACCTTGCCACACTAGTTGCCTGTCGTTTCTCCATGCTGCGAAAGATAAATGGACGGCTGCTGTTGTTATTCCTACTGCTGCTGTGCCTGTGTGTGGGTGCTGTGCAGCGTTGCAGCGTGTTGCAGCTGGTGCTGCAGGAGGTGCAGCAGCAACTATTTCCCCAGATGCAGCGTCAGCTGGACCTTGAGGGTAGCAGCTACATTGCTGCTGCACAGCGCGGTGCAGCAGCAGGAGAAGGAGCAGCAGCAGGAGGAGAAGCAGCAGGAGCAGAGGCAGGGGCAGGAGGGGAAGGCAGGGCTCTCGGCTGGTGGAGTGTAACGTCTGTACACTCCGATTTAATGAAGAAAATATGGAGGGCTATAAGGACCTTCTATGCCGTCACTACCTGCCTACCGCCGCTGCAGCTTGCTGCCTTCCTTGCTCAGGCGAGACACTTGTTACTGCTGCTGCTGCTGCTGTTGCTGCTGTTGGTGCTGCTGCCTCTGCTCGTTTTTGGATCGCTGAGATTCCTCGATGAGCCCATTGCCGTCGTCTCTTGTCTCCTCTATGCGCATGCAGAATCAGCCAGAAGTCCGGCGGTTCTTTAAGACCAGTACCAGCAGCAGCAGAAGTAGCAGCTACAGGAGCAGCAGCAGCAGCAGCAGCAGCAGCAGCAGTTCAAGATACGGAGACAGTACGAGTTTCAGTGGTCCCTCGTTGTTAGATCATGAGAGAATGAAGCAACAGAAGCTTCTTGAGTTGGGGAGACAGGACCCGCTGCGTGCGCGGCTGCTGCTGCGGCAGCAGCAGCAGCTGCAGACAGAGAGGGAGCAGCAGAGGGGTGTACAGTATTTGCCCTTTTTGCAGCAGCAGAGGAATATTGACTACCCGCGTCTCTTTGGATATGCTGATTTGCTGCTGCTGCCTTTTGACCTAGAAGGAGAATTGAGCCTGCTGCAGGAGGATTACGAACAGCAGCAGCAGCAGCAGCAGCAACAGAGGGGTTCCGCACCCAGGCCCAGCGGTGTCGCCGGGACAACAGCAGGAGGGGGAGCAGCAGCAGCAACAGGGGGGACAGTTGGTTTTAAGAATACATTAGATTTATGCTGCAGTTATTGCAGCAAAGATTGGCTATTTGTTGGTGGTGAGCCCCTGTTGCATGCATCGGAAGCAACGGGGCTGCATGCATTATTAAGTGGATTTGTTGGTATATCTCCTCTTTTTGCTGCTCCTCTTAATCCAGATACACAAGAGAATGCTATGTATACAGGGGAACATTATTCTCTTGCTTTCTTAATAGAGGCAGCAATTAAGGATAAAATAAGAGACACAGATGCTGATTATCATAAACCATGGGATGCAGAGGTAAATATAAATACATTTAATATTTACTGCATAGACACCCAATACAACAGCAACAGCAACAGCAGCAGCAGCAACAACAGCAGCAGCAGCAGCAGTTCTTACTGTATGTCTTAGTCTTATGAGGAACCTTAAACAACAACAAAACAGATTCGTTAAGACCCGAGAAGGGGGCCCCTAGGGGGCCCCCCAATAAGGGTACTTCTTACGAAGGGAAGATATTCCTCTTTTCTCCCCCCATTTATATGCTGCAGGACATGAAAAAAATTAGAGGAATATTTTTTCTTTTTTTTTCTTCTTTTTTTTTTGTTGTTGTGTGCAGGTATTGCTTAACCTAATTTCTTGGATATTTGCATTTTATGTTCGTTATTTCTCTGCATCTAATGTGCTGCGGCAGAAAGCCCGGGCGAAGCAGCAGCAGCAGAAGAAGCAGCAGCAGCAGGAGCAGAAAAAGAAGCAGCAGCAGCAACAACAGCAGCAACAGGATGATTTGAGTTCTTGGCAGCGTCGTTGGGCGGAGCAGATGGACGCATCCGAGCAGCAACAACAGCAGCAGCAACAACAACAACAACAACAGCAGCAGCAGCAGCAGCAAGAAGAGGAAGAAATAGAACTATTAGATAGAGTAGATATGATTTTCTGCATGCAAGGGTTCGATACTTTTTTAATTCATTCTTATTTAATTGAATGTATACAATTATGCGTAAGAGAGGAGAGGCTAAGACAGCGCAGCAGCAGCTTATGTGTTGCTGCTCTGCGGTGTCTGCGTCAGCTGCTGCGGTTAATGGAGCTGCATGTACGCAGCAGCAGCAAAGAGATTCGTGCTGCAGTGCAGCAGCAATATGAACGATGGCTAGGTAGCGGCATTGTCTCTGAATTATCTTATATACTTCGTCGTTATAAGCCTCGTAGTACTAATCCTTATATATTCCTTTTTGCTGCTGAGTGTCTCCTTTCCCTCCTCTCCTTGCTGCAGCAGCTAGGGGGGAGTGTCTCCGCTAGTATGGAGGGTCTTAAGGTAAGAAAAACAAGAAAACCAGGAGGAGCAGCAGCTGCTGCTGCATTCTGGGATGACGAGGAGACACTGCAGCAGCAGCAGCAGCAGCAGCAGCAACGAACAAGGACAGTCACCACAGATGATCTACTCAGTGACTTCTTCCGAGGAGATATCGTACGAAACTGCATGTTCTTCGTAAGTGCATCTAGGGTTTAGGGTTTAGGGTTTAGGGTTTAGGGTTTAGGGATTAGGGATTAGGGTTTAGGGATTAGGGTTTAGGGTTTGTTTGTCTTCATATGCACTACATATTTGCATTAGGGGTTTAGGGTCTGGGGTTTGTTTGTCTGCCTATGCAATATACATTCGCATTTAGGGTTTAGGGTTTAGGGTTTAGGGTTTGCGTATTATTTGTTTGTTGTTTACAGCTAAGTCGTTATAAGGGAAACCCTTTATCTGTTAATTGTGGTATAGTTGCGCTGCTGCAGCAGCTGCTGCAGTACAGGCAGCAGCAGCAGGAAAATGTTTGTCTTTTCTTTGATCTTCCTTCTCTTCTTATTTGCCAACAATTACTTAATGATACACAGGTACACTATTATTGTTTATTCCTTATTTATTTATTTATTTATTTATTTATATTTATATTTATATTTATTTATTAATATTTATATTTTTTTATAAGCTTATTTGTTTATTTGTTTATTTATTTCTGCGTATATGTATATATCTATATATCTTTATTATACAAATATGTATATATTATATTATATATATTGTCTCCTTGCTGCTGTTGCTGTCTCCTTATTTGTGTGTCTCTTCCCTTGTCTTGTCTTCGTCTCCTTTCTGCTGTCGCTTTGTTTATGTGTCTCCTTCCTTGCATATATTTTTGTTGTATATTTGCAACAACTGTCTCCTTATAAGATTGTCTACCTGTGTGTCTGCTTTTGCTGCTGTTGCTGTTGCTGCTGCTGCTGCTGCTGTCGCATGCATGCAGCTAACGGTACTACCGCAGCAAGCCTTCTTAGGAGATTTTGCTGCTTATATTGTTAAATCTTTTTTCTTACTATGGGAGAAAAATAGACTTCTTCCTGTTGAGTTATTATTTAGTAAGCAGAGGTCTCCTCAGACCCTTGTCTCTTGCCGTGCTCCCCCTTCTGCTGCTGCTGCTGCAGCAGCAGCAGCAGCAGGGGAGGGAGGTGATGCGGAGTCAGCAGAAGCAGCAGCAGCAGCAGCAGCAGAGGAGGCAGAAATGACGCAACAAGACTTCTGGTGTCCTGGGTCTCTCCCTGCCCTCCAGTCCCTCTGCAGCAACTACACCAGAGGTATCGATGCTAAGGTGCAGCAGCAGCTGCAGCAGCTGCCGCACCTCGAGCCGCAAGATGCCCTAAGGGTAGCAGCAGAAGAAGCTGCTGCTGTTAGCGGGAGACACAGAGACAGTGCAGCAGCAGGAGCATGGACACACGAAGAAGACTGCATGCTGCTGCAGTTCTTTGAACAGTTTAGGGGAGTAAGAGACTACTATACATATATTGCTGGTAAGCAGCAGCAGCAACAACAGCAACAACAGTAGCAGAAGCAGCAACGACAGATGCAGCTTCAACAGCAGAAGCTGCAGCAACAGCAGCAACAGCAGCAGCAGCAAGGTTTGTTCTTACTATGTTGTTTTCTGTACTCAGAGTTAATGGGAAGAAATGCTAAGGCCGTCAGGAAGAGACTGCAGCAGCTAAGGGCAGAACAAGAAGGAGACACAGAAGCAGCAGCAGCAGCAGAAGGGGAGACAGAAATATACCCTGAGGAGACACACCAACGTGATAGTGATGTAAGTATACAAGGAGACACTCTTTATATAAGGAGACAGTAAGAAAAGATAAAAGGAGACACTGTACACAAAGAGACAATAAGAAAGGATAAAAGGAGACATTGCATATAAAGAGACAGCAGAGACAGGGCAGTTAGAGAGACAGCGTAGAAGAGACAAGGAAGGAGACAAAAGGAGACAGTAAAGGAAGAGGAATACATCGAGAGACAGAGGGAGACAGAAGCAGCCGATTTAGGGGAGACAGCAGCAAGAAGCTGCAGCAGCAGCAGCAGCAGCAGCAGCAGAACCAAATATCCATAGCTGACATGTTCAGTTGAGGTGTACGTACGCTGCAGCTTATCTGTCCTTGTGTCTTTTCCTGCTGCTGCTGCTGCTGCTTCTGCATGCAGGACTCGAAGGGATCTCCTGCTGCTCTTGCTGCTGCAGTATTAAACTTTAGGAAGAAAGATTGGCGAGCATATTGTGCTGCAGCAGGAGACAGCGAGGGGACAGTCTCCTCTCGTGTCTCTTATAACGCAGAGCGTCTCCTTGAGGGTGTAGCAGCAGCACTAAGAGATGCATGCAGACTTAAGAGACAATTAGAGGAGTTTGGAGACAGCGGAGCAGCAGGAGGAGCAGCAGGAGCACAAGAGGTACAGGTAGAGGAGCCAGCAGAGGCCCCATTACCTGTATTAGATAGTAAAGAATTTGCTGCTCTTATGGTGTCTCTAAACTGCAGCAAGGCAAAAGGAGACACTTTTTGGTGTCTCCTTTCTGATCGTCCTTATGAATATCTTGTTGCTATGGTAGAACGATTAGAGGTCCTTACCTCACGCAGTATACAGGTTCGTTTGCTGCTGCTGCTGGTGCTGCTTCTGCTGCTGCTGTTGCTGCTGTTGCTGGTGCTGCTGCAGTTCCTGCTGCCATTGTTGATCTTGCCGGTGTTAGTGTTGCTGCTTGTGTTGCTGTTTCTGCCGCTGTTCCTGCTGCTGCTGTTTGTACCTTCTGCCTATTGATGGGGGGTATCCTTCTTCGTCTGTGTCTGCTGCTGCTGTATAGGACTTGGAGGCCGAGCAGCAGAAGAGGAGACAGGGCATGCACAAGAAGAGACACAAGAGCAACTTCTCCTTCCGCAGCGCAGCACTTGCAGGCGGTATTATTGACTTCCAGCGTCGTGTACTCGAGCTGCACGAAGCAGCAGCAGCAGCAGCAGAGGGAGAGGCATCTGGTCTCTTTAAGGATGACGACACCAGCAATCAGGAGGCAGAAGCAGCAGCAGCAGCAGCAGCAGCCGCAGCAGCTGCGGGACGCGAGCCGAAAGAGCTCCTTGCCGATCTCCTCCGATCTTTCCGCGCGTTGCTGCAGAAGCTGGAGAACCGTCCCCCTCAGCAGCAGCAAGAGCAGCAGCAGCAGCAGCAGGATGGGGCCGATGAGCAGCGGGTACTGCCTGTGGAGGATTTAAGCTGGTTTGCTGCTCTTCGTAAGGAGAGACCCGTAAGGAGACTCTTATGGCTAATGGGCCTTGAGCCTGCAGAAGGAGACACTTGCTGGTTGCTGCCATCAACTGTCTCCGCTTCTACATGGAAGGATCGTCTCCAAGTCTTCGATGCTATGCATGCAAATAGTCTTGAGGTAAGCTACTCAGCTAGCTAGCTAGCTAGCTAGCTAGCTAGCTATCTAGCTAACTAACTGGTCGGCTAGCTGGATAGCAAGCTAGCCACACACTCAGCTAACATCCTGAATTCATGGCTAGCTAGCTGGTTAGCTAGCTGGCTATTAGCCAGCTACTTGACCTATTGCTGTTGGCGTGTGTGTCTCCTCCTGTTTAGGACTTGGAGATGTTGGTAGAAGACGTAAGGCCGAGGGACAGGGAGACAGAAGGAGACCGTAGAGGACGAGGAGGAGAGAGAGGAGACAGTAAGAAAGGGAAGAAGCATAAGAAGAAAGGAGACAAGATGAATGGAGGACAAGAGGATAAACCTATAAGAATAAAGACTTATCCTATAAAGCCTACACTGCAGCAGCAACATATACTTGTACAAAAAATATACGAATGGAGACACTTCGTGGAGACACAAGAGTGTGGGGAGGTGGTGGGGGCAGACGACCAGCTGCTGCGTCTTGTTGTTTGTTTAGAGACATGGCTTGGTTGTCGTGCTGCAGCAGCAGAAACAGCAGCAGCAGAAGCAGCAGATCTACCTAATGCAGAAGCTGCTGCAGCAGCAGCAGCAGCAGCAGCAGAAAAAGCTGTGGGGAACCTTGTGGTGACGCAGCACGGTGGCGCTGGGGATGAAGAGGAAATGGAATCCGCAACGGGATCGGGATCGGGATCGGGATCGGGATCGTGGGGTAGGGGACGACTCCCAACAACTGTCCAAGCTCTATGGATATGTGCTGCATTAGGGGGACAGCCAACTATAGGTAGCGACAATAAGAGATGGATATGGCTAGCTGACCCCACACATCTACCTGTCTCCTGGTTAAGGAGACAGCTAAAGCTTATAAGGAAGGCATTAACAGACCCAAGACTTAGTACAGCAGCAGCACTAAAGGAAGAAGCAGATGCCCTTGCGGAGTTGGTGCAGCAGCAGCAGCAGCAGGAGATGCAGCAACAGCAAGAGGAAGAAGAAAGACAACGTAAGCTGCAGGAGCAGCAGCAGCAGGAAAGGCAGCAAAGACGAAGAAAGAAACAGAAGGAAAGGAGACAGAGAGAAGATAGTGATGATGATGAGGAGGAGGCCTCCGCAGACACCGACAGCAGCAGCAGCAGCAACAGAGACAGCAGCAGCGAGGCTGCAGCTGACGATCAGGAGACAGATAATGAATCTGTAGTGTCTCCACAGCGTAAGAGCAGACGCAGGAAGAAGCAGCAAATAAACAAAAATAAAAGACATGCAGAGGAGACACCTGCAGCAGAGACAGCGGCAGAGGCAGCAGCAGCAGAAGCAGCAGAAAGTCCAACAAGAGAAACAACAGCAGCAGCAGCAACGGAAGGAGAAACAACAGCTGCTGCTAGCGAGACAGAAGCAGCAACAGCAGCACCTGCGACGTCTGCAGCAGCAGCAGCAGCTCCTGCTGCTGCTGCTACTGCTGCTACAGAAATAGAAGAGGAAGAGGATGATGCCTTTGCTGCATGGATAAGAGACACAATAGAGGTAAGAAGAGACACCTCTGCTGCTGCAGCTGCTGCATCTGCTGCATCTGCTGCTGCTGATTTGCTGCCTGAAAGTATCAAAGAGTTCCTGGCAGAGACAGAGAAGGATAAACAGCAGCAGCAGCAGCAGCAGCAAAAGCGCATGCTGGCTGAAGACAGCGGTGTTGCAGTGGAGTCGATGGGTGGTATACAGTCAACAGAAACAGCAGCAGCAGCAGCACAAAAGGCAGCAACAGCAGCAGCAGCAGCAGATGAGGGGGAGCAGCAAGGGAGACTCAAGAGGGCCCGCAAGGCGCCTAGTCCTGAAGAACTTAAGGAGTTACTAAGCGACTGCTACCGCTTAGCGGAGACAGGGGTAAGGAGCAGCAGCAGCAGCAGCAGCAGCAGTAGCAGCAGCAACAGTAGTATACGGCAGGCAGAAGCAGCAGTCAGCGCAGCAGGACAAGAGGAACAGGAGCTGCAATAGCAGCGGTGGCGGCAGAAGCAACAGCAGCAGTAGAGGCAACAACAGCAGCAGCAAGAAGTGCAAGTCTTCCTTGTGTTTCTGTGTGTGCGTGTGTGCAGCAGCAGCAGCAGGAGACAATTGCTGACTTCTTGGGCAAGGACAGAATAAGGGGAGCAGCAGGACTGCGGCGTCTGCTGCAGCAGTCTTAGGTCTCCTTCTGCTGCTGTACCACTGCAACAGTAGCAGCAGCAGAAACAGCAGCAGCCGCAGCAGCAGTGGCAGGTACTTCTGCCATAGCCACTGCTGCTGCTGCTGCTGCTGCTGCGCCGGCTGCATGGGCAGCAAACTGGGGAGCATTCATTGCTCCTTTAGCAGCAATCAGAATGGCTAGCTGGCCTTCCTGCAGATTGGTTAGCTGGCTAGGTAGCTAGCTAGCTAGCTAGCTGACGAGTTAGCTGTTTAGCTAGCTGACAGGCTAGCAGTCTAGCTAGCTAGCTGACAGCTTGGCTAGCTAGCTGAGCGTAGCTAGCTGTGTGTAGCAGACAACGGCTGTCTCCGCCAGCGCGGCAGCGACAGCAAAACAAGGAGGAGAGACATTTGCAGTGTCTATGCAGCTAAAGAGACAGCAGCTGCTGCTGCTGTTGCAGCAGCCGCAGCAGCTGCTGCTGCTGCTGCAGGTGTCTCTTGTCTACTTCTCTTCCTCTGCGGGGATGACTATATTTAGATCATAAGAAATCGCTTTCAAGGCAATTCAGCCCAAATACCTGTTGACGGTGCTGCTGCTCTGCTGCTGCTGCTGCTGCTGCTGCTGACACAGCAGCAGCAAGTTTCTATCTGTTGCTTCTTATGCCTACAGCAGCAACAGTTTACGAGGGGGACAAATGCAAGGAACAGCAAAAGACAATAAAAGGGACAAATAACTCAACTTAATCCCCCCTAGCATGCACACCCCACACTGCAGCAACAGCAGCAGCAGGAGCAGCTGCTGCTGCTGCTGCCGCTGCAACAAGCAGAAGCAGTAGCGACGCACTACTTCTCGCTCGTTCCTTGCTTCCTAGCTCTCCGTCCCTTCTCCCAGACCACAGATGCCTGCTGGTACTATTAACAGCTAGCTGCAGCAGCAGCTAGCTGGTGCTAGCAGCAGCTATTTGCTGCTCCTTGCTGCTAGTGGTAGTTTGCTGCTATATTGGCATAAATAAGTTTCTCTCTTCTCTGTGTGCCTCCTAAGGAAAGGGCCTAATGACACTACGGCTATGCAGCGCATGCAAAGAGGCAACACTGTACAACGCAGCAGCAACTGGAGCAGCAGCAGCAGCAGCAGCAGCGAAGACGGCCCAGCAGCAGGGGAATATATACATACACCCGAAGAGTAGGAGAAGCACACAGTGTAACTATTTGCTGCTCAATAATAGAAATAAAAATAAATAATTAATTATAATTATAATTTTATTATTCCTTCGAACGTTTGCTGCAAGCAGAAGGCAGCCGCAGCAGCAGCAGCAACGGGCTGCAGCCCGCCTAGCGGCAGCAGCAACTGCAGGAGCTGCTGCTGCTGCTGCTGCTGCAGCAGGGAATTGTGTCTTCATATATTGGAGTTAATTCTTTTGCTTTATATTCCTCAGTGTGTAGATTCATATTATTCGGGTGTACGTACACCTCAGCTTCTTTTGCTGCTCAGCCCCAGCAGCAGCAGCAGCAGATATAGGGGCAGCAACTGTCTCCTGTTAATTAAATAAAATGAATTTCTTGGCCTCTAACATTGAACGGCGGCTAGGCTCGCCGTCACTGCTGCAGCAGGCGGGAGTGGTGCTGCAGAGGGTGCAACAGCAGCAGCAGCAACAGCAGCACGAGCCACAGCAGCAGCAGCAGCAGCAGCAGCAGCTGTATAGACATAAGCTCTGGCGCTCGGCAGCAGCTGGCTCGGGGGGTTGGGGTAGATGTCACACATTACATCAACAACAACGGCATCCTCTGCTTCGTCAGCAGCAGCAGCAGCAGGGAAGACGATCTGGTTCTGCTGCTGTTGCATCTGCTGCTGCTGCTCTCTGTTTTGCTGCTGCACACAAGAAGAGAGAAGTTAAATTAGGAGATCTTAAAGACTTCCCGGAGGGAGGAGTCTATGAGGTCAGCGTCAACGGGGGTAAGCAAGGGAGCAGCAGCAGCAGCAGCTGTTGCTGCTGTTGCTGCACCAGCAGCAGTTGCCTCTGCTGCTGTTGCAGCAACAGCAGCAACAGTAGCATCAGCAGTAACAGCAACAGCAATAGCAGCAGCAACGGCAGCAGCAACAGGAAGCAAAGCAACACTATATATGCCGTATAGCTAGGGGGTTGAGGCAGCCGTGCAACTGCTGCTGTTGCTGCTGCTGCTGCTGCAATTGTGGTTGCTGCTGCAGTCGTTGTTATAGTTGCTGCTGCTGCTGCTGCTGCTGCTGTCATGTAGGGTGTCGTTCTTTTTTCTTATTCGCTGTATTCTTCAATAAGAATCTCTTGGCATTCCTTCTGCCGTTTGCTTCTGCTGCTGTTGCAACTGTTTCCTGCTGTTGCTGTTGCTGCTGCTGCTGCTGCTGCTGCTGCTGCTGCAGGGAAGGACAAGGTGTTGGTGTCTCATGTAGGAGGCAACTTTTACTGTACAGGATCGACCTGTCCACATTATGGCGCTCCCCTCGTCAAAGGTTAGGCCTAGTAGCTAGCTAGCTAGCTAGCTAGCCAGCTACCTAGCTAGTTAGCTAGCTAGGCATTAGCTAGCTACCCAGCTAGCTAGCTGTCTGCGGCATCTGCAGTTTTTAAGGAGGCAGAGGGACAGCTAATGGCAGAGGGATAGTTGCTGTTGGTGCTACTGTTGCTGCTGCTGCCGCTGCTGCTGCTGCTGCTGCTGCTGCTGCATGCATTTAATTGTTTACTTGTATATATGTTTATTTTCCTGTTATGTATTTAGGTGTACAGACACCTGAGCATTTAATTTGTCCATGGCATGACGCAAAGTTTGACCTAAAAACAGGAAAATGTATTGGTGGTTCGTCTCCCCTCTATTGTCTCCCTTGGGATCGTCTCTGTGGGGTTGGGGATCGTCTCTGTGGGGGCGGGGATCGTCTCTGTGGGATCGGGGATCGTGTGTGTGGGGTCAGGGATCGTGTGTCGGGGGTCTGGGATCGTCTCTGTGGGGTGTGGGATCGTCTCCGTGGGGTATGGGATCGTCTCCTCCATGCAACACAGGCAGTTTAAGAAACACTGCTCTTGTTGCTGCTTCTTCAGTTGCAACAATGCTGCTGTTGCTGCTGCTGTGGCTGCTGCTGCTGTTGCTGCTGCTGCTGCTGTTTAGGGCCTGTTACCCAGGGTATAGCGACGTATCCTGTGGAGGTGAGGGGATCGTCTCTCTTTGCTTCTTTGCCAGAGAGGATTGAGGATCAGGGACCTACACTTACCTGCTGCTGCAACAAATCAGATACAGTAAGCAGCAGCAGCAGCAGCAGCAGCAATACGAAGTAGAAGAACACCAGCAGCGGGAAGAGCAGCAGATAGCTCAACAGACGCGTATCTGCTAGCTAGGGAGCTAGGTAGCTAGCTAGGTAGCTAGCTAGCTAGCTAGCAAACTAACTAAATAAGTAGCTAGCCAGCTAGCTAGCTAGTATCTGCCTGTCTGTCTGCAGGCACTAAGAGACAAAACATTTATTGTTGTAGGGGGAGGCCCTGCTGGTCTTGCTGCAGTAGAGGAGTTGCGGGCATTGGGCTATCAAGGTAAGCATCAAAAGGAGACACAAAAGAGACACGAACTGTGTCTCCTTTCCCTGCTGCTGCTGCTGTTGCTGCTGCTGCTGCTGCTGCAGGGCGTCTACTGATGATATCAAGGGAAGATGTACCTCCTTATGATAGAGTTCTTCTTAGCAAAAATCTTAAATGTGATACAAATAACAGTACGCATATACACCAACTACACAGCAGCTAGCTAACTGGCCCGGTAGCTAGCTAGCTAGCTAGCTAGCTAGCTGGCTAGCTGACTGGGTAGCTAGATAGCTAGCTAGCTACAGAGGTAGCTAGCCAGCTAACCGGGAAGCTAGCTGGGCACCTAGCCAGACAGCTAGCTAGACAGCTAGCCAGACAGCTAAACGGACAGCTGGCGAGCTAGCTGGTTAGACACATCTGCTGCTGCTGTTGCTGCTGCTGCTGCTGCTGCTGCTGCTGCAGTATTCCTGCGTCCTAAGGAATTTTTAACGGAGACACTAAAGGTAGATTTACGATTAGGGGAGACAGTTGAGAAAATAGATGCAGATAGACAAATTGTACAAACTAGTAAAGGAAGACTAATACATTATGATAAGGTAAGGACTATTTACTCCTGCTGCTGCTGGTGCTGCTGCTGTTGCTGTTGCTGTTGCTGTTGCTCTCTTTTGCTGTTATGTTGGTGCTGTTGCTCTATGCTCTAAGTTGCTGTTGCTGTGTGTTGCTGCTGCTGCTGCTGCTGCTGCTGGTGGCCCTTTATGTCTCCTTTTATACCTCCGTTTTTGTCTCCTCCTGCTGTGTCTCTCCTTGCGTGTGTGTCTGCATATATATATAAAGTTATTATTATGTACAGGTAGTCGTGTACGTAAGCTGGAGGGTATAGAAGGAGCAGAGGAGACAACTGGTGTATATTATTTGCGTACAATAAAAGATTTAGATAAAATAAATAATTCTTTTATTAAGGATATAAATAATATTAATAATATACAACATGTTATATTAGGTTCTTCTTTTATTGGTGTTGAGGTTGCTGCTGCATTAAAAAAATTAGGAGTACAACATGTTACTGTTGTAGGAAGGGTAAGTATACTGCAGCAGTAGCAGCAGCAGCAGCAGCAGCAACTGCAGTAGTAGTAGTAGTAGTAGTTGCTGCTGCATTAAAAAAGATAGGAGTGCAGCATGTTACTGTTGTAGGGAGCAGCAGCAGCAGCAGCAACAGCAGCAACAGCAGCAACAGTAGGGTTTATTACCCACTTCCTAAATCCTATTAATTGTCTCCTTATTCTACCTGTCTCCTTTTCCTACCTTACGTGTCTCCTTGCTTCCTTTTATTTTCTTTTTTTCTTTTTTTTTTTTTTTTTCCTTTTTTTTTTTTTA